AATTGTGTTTGTTTTGTGTGTCTTGTTGCTCCCTGAATAATCAGATCACATGGCTTGCCTCTTTTTTTGTGCCCAACTTGGAAATTCCCCACAGCTGAAATGCCTTCCTATGAATCATTGGCATGTATATATAAATACATATATACATATATGTATATATATTCATATGTATACACACATATATGCATATAAATATAATACGTACAATATTTTATATATATACACACACACACATATATATAGTGTGTTAGCCATGGTTACCTGGAGCAAGGGATAACAGTTGGGAAAACAATAAACTAAATTGTTTAGAGGGAATTGTTTGGGGAATTAGATGCTTTGAAGAGTGAGGGCTTTGAAAATTCTCACATTTTTCTGGGAACCCAGAAGGTCACTGGCTTAGAGCTGGATGCATGCTCAGATATACCCAAGAAGGCCCATACTTTCGTCTTTGGTTGACTTTCAGACTCCACATGACCAGGACGTCAAGACTAAGGCCAAATAGTAAACTTTTTGTCAGAGAGTTGAAGTCACATCCCAACACAAATATAGGACTCACCTGCAAAGAATAGAGAATATTTAATTTGGTTCCAGGTGTTAAAAGGAATTGTCTTTTATGAGATGGCCAATCAGTTAACAAGACAGAAATTTTAGTGGTCAAGCCATGAAGAATAGACTTGACAAAACTAATTCAGAGATGTCACTAAACAAACTACTACTGTAACAATTAGTAATCACAAATAATGAGAACCTGATTTCCAGAGTTACCAAATCATTATCAAAATGTCAATTACAACAAAAATTAAAAGGCATTGAAAGACAGAGACAGTAGGCTGAATAAATAGGAAAAAATGAAATTATGAACTATTCCTGAGGAAATCCAGATGTGAGCTTACTAGATGAAGACTCTAAATCAACTATTTCAAGTCTGTTCAAAGATTAAAAAAAAAAAAACATGTCAAAGGACTAAAGGAAAACATGTGAACAAAGTCTCACCCAGTTGAAATTCCTGACAAGTAAAGTCTCACCCAGTTGCAATTCCTGACAAGAAGACTGAAATTATTACAAGAAGAACCCAAATACAGACTCTGGAGTTTTAAAATACAATAAGTGAACTAAAAAATTCACTAGAAGGGTTTAAGAGCAGATTTGAGCAGCCAGAAGAAAGAATTAGTGAACACAAAACAGGTCAATTCAAATTATCCAGTCTGAAGAACAGGAAAAAAATGCATATAAATGAATAAAAAATGAATGACATATTATATGCTTGAAGGGTCACATGCACTAACAGAGTAGTTTCTTTAAAAAGTTTACTGAGAGAGTTGTATAAAATGGTTCATAAAACTATTGTAATAGCAGTAAAACATGAATAATCCCAAATTTCATACACACACATGCACATACACACTCACAGTGGTGTACTGACATGTGTAAACATGAATGAATTGAAACTTTGTGTGTCAACAAGAATAAATCTTAGAAACATAATATTTAAGGAAATTCTTTGGACAAACACACACAGCATTGTACCAAGTTCTTGAAGTTTAAAACAAAGAATGGCTTACCTCATAGAAGAAATAAAATAAATAGATTATGCTTTTAAATATATATTCCATATGTTTTGTATATATCAGATATATCACAGAAGTAAAATTGCCCATCTTTGGACAATCAAAAAAAATTAAAAGTGGGCTAAAATGCAAGAAAATACAGTCTGAAAAGTAAAGGCAAGCATCAAATCCAGACTCAGATGTGGTGTGCATTTTGGATTTATCAGATAAACAATTTAAAATAACTATGATTAATATGTTAAGGAATCTCACACAAGAGCTAGACAGCATGCCAAAACAGATGGATAATGTAAGCAGTGAGATGGAAATTCAAAATTCACAAATGAAGAAAATGCTAAACTCAACTTTATTAAAACAATAACTTATGTTCTTTGAAAAATAACTTTTTAGAAGAAGAAAAGACAAGCCACATACAGGAGGAAAATATTTGCAAACTGCGTGTCATTCATAGGTGCCAACTCACCTAAGTTAAGGGACACCCAAATAGCTGGTAGAACACTATTTGGGGTTTATCTATGAGACTGGATCCAAGAGAGGTTAGCTTTTGAATCAGTGGACTGAATAAGGAAGATCTGCCCTTACCTAATGTGAGCTGGAACCAACCAATCACTTGAGGACCAGAATGAAACAAAAAGATAGAGGAAAGGTGATTCGCTCTCTTTTCTGGAGCTGGAGCGCCCATCTTCTTCTGCCCTAAAAGTCAGAACTCCAGGTTCTCTGATCATCTTGACTCTGGAATTGCATGGCAGCTTCCTAGGTGCCAAGGTTGCTATGGTTTAGATATGAGGTGTCCCCCAAAAGCTCATGTGTGAAACAATGCGAGAAAGTCTAGAGGTGAAATAACTGGGTTATGAGATCCTTAACCTGATCACAGTGTGTTAATCCCCTGATAGGAATTAACTGAGTGGTTACTGTAGGCAGGAAGGATGTGGCTAGAGGAAGTGGGTCATTGGGGACGTGCCAGTGGGGTTTATATTTTTTCTGTGAGGGGAGTTCTCTTCCTGTTTCCTTGTGCCATGTTCTCAACTGTTTTTTCCTCTACACCCTTCTGCCATGATGTTCCACTTCATCTCGAGCCCCAAAGCATAGAATGACCCTGGCCATCCATGGACTGAGATTTGTGAAACGGTGAGCCCCCAAATAAACATTTCCTCCTCTAATAGTTCTTGTCAAGCCACAGCACTGAAAAAGCTAAACAAAGGTCTTTGGATATAGACTGAGCTAATCACTAACTTCCATCTTTCATGGTTCATTCTCTCTCTCTCTCTCTCTCTCTCTCTCACACACACACACACACACACACACACACACACACACCTAATATACTATGTCACTGATAAAGGACTTGTATCTAAAATATACAAATAACTCTTAAAACTTAGCAATGAGAAAATTTAAAATCCATTTAAAAATGGGCAAAACATCTAAAGAAATATTTTCCCATCAAAGATGTGAAACTCATTCATTGCTGGTGGGAAAGCAAAATGATACAAACACTATGGAAGACATTGGCAGTTTCTCACAAAGCTAAAGTTAGTCTTAGATGGTACAAAAATTATACTCCTAGATATTTACCAAACTGATTTAAAAAATACGTCCACACAAAAATCTTGCACACGAATGTTTATGGCAGCTTTATTTGTCATCTTCAAAAACTGGAAGTAATCAAGATCTTGCCCAGCAATTGAATAGATTTTTTTAAAGTGGCACATCCATACAATATTATATTATTTGCCAGTCTAAATAAATAAGCTATCAACCTATGGAATAATCTCAAGTGCATATTGCTAAGTGAAATAAGACAATCCGGAAAGTCTACATGATCCCAAAGACATGATATTCTGGAAAAAGCACCACTAGAGAGATAGTGAGAGAATTAATGGTTGTGTACTAATTGTGTTTTTATTTCCTGTATTTTTTGATGCTTTGACATCTTGGTATATTGTGGACCCAGGGAAGAACTGCTTCTCCCAAGGTTGCCAGTTCCTTAAGATAGAAAACAGCTTACCTGAGAATTTGCCTTCATTTGTAAACTAATCAGTCCAGAGCCCATGCCTACATTGACCTTCTTTATCTAACACAACAGACCAGCACTCCCTATATGATTAAAATGACAGTTAAAGTCTGTGTTCATTAAAGAAAAAAAATCATATGAAGTCCAATAGTGGGACATCTTACTAAGTAATTGACCAGTAATCCTAAAGCCGTCAGGATAATGAAAAACAAGAAAAGTCTGAGAAACTCCACAGCTAAGAGGAGCCAAATGGGACATGATAACTAAATATACTGTGATATACTAGACTGAATACTGGGGTGGAGAGAACATATTAGGTACAAAGTAAGAAACTTGAAATTATGGGCCTAGGTTAAAATAATGTATTAAGCCAGGAACAGTACCACACACCTGCAAGCCCAGCAGCCCATGAGGCTGAGGCAGGAGGATCACAAGTTCAAAGCCAACCTCAGAAATTTGGAGGCCCTCAGCAACTTAGTGACTGTTTCTAAATAAAATATAAAAAGAGCTGGTGATGTAGCTCAGTGTTTAAACACCTCTAGGTTCCATCACTGGTACCAAAATACTACTACCACTACTACTACTACTAATAATAATAATGAATTAAAATATTAACATAGATTTATTATTATAATAAAAGTGTCATACTAATATTGAATAATTGTAGAAACTGGATATTAGATATATAGGAATTCTAAATACTATCTTCTCAATTTTTCTGTAAATCTGAATCTCTTCAAAAAATTAAAGTCTATTTTAAAAACAAAGTTCAATCAGTTTCCACAGTAAGGTAAAATGTTAAGCACTCAAAATGTTTCAGAAGAGTTTGTTGTGATTTCTAGCCTAGGTTTAAAAATACCTATCCCCAACTAAATTGAAGAAATTAGGTAGAATACATTCTTCTAAATATTTCCAAAGTTCAAGTTACTTTTAAAAGAATTATAGAGGAAAGCTTTTAAGGCAGAAGGCTTAGAATCCTCTGCATTTAAAAAGGGAAAAACAAAGATTATCATGAACAACTTAGGAAAATAGTTGATTTCTTGCATTATAAAAGAATAGAACTTCCTTCAGAAATTCTCTGTGTCTGTTCAATCCTGGCACAACATTTTAGGATAAATAAAATGAGCATCCCTAGTTATCCAACCATACAGCAAATAATAATAAAAAACAAAAGAAAAATAATAGAAAGAGGAGATAAATATTTATTTCCACTTGAAGCTATTTATAAACCTAATCTTCAAAATATCCGTGAAACTGTGTCAAGGCAAAATAATCATTGCAATTAACTCTCCTAACCACTGAATGTTAAACAAACCATAAGGCTATCAAGAATGACATTTGTTGACATCTATGTGTTACCACCCTGATATTCTCACATGTAGGTAGGAAAAGCAGCCACCAAAAAGAAAGGATTGGGGGTCCCAGTTTGGTAGCACCCATACCAAAATCGAAATGATACAGATATAAGCATGGACCCCACATAAGAATGACATAAAAATTCATGAAGCATTCCATATTTGAGAAAATAGGGAATTATTGTTGAATGAAGTCTGTTTGAGAAGATGGAGAATTTGATGATGGATGGTGAAGGTTCCACAACATGTCATGGAATGTCATGGAACCATTCACTTAATAAAAAAGGTAAATTTCAATATTTAACTGAATGGTACCTGTAGACAGGTAGGGTGTGGCTAGAAGAGGAAAGTCCCTGGGTGGACGACTTTGGGGGTTATATTTTGTCCTGGTGAGGAGATATTCTCTCTCTCTCTCTCTCTCTCTCTCTCTCTCTCTCTCTCTC